CCCTGCCCAACCTCAGGGGCCTCCGTGAAAGGTACCAGCAGGCATTTCTCCAGCCCACTGGCCCAGCAGCACTGACCCCATAAGGAATGGGGTTTGACCCGCCACCCTGCCCCCACCTGTGCTGCTCACCATACTTCTGCTTGAGGAACAGCGACGACCCGCAACACTGCAGCTCCCCCTTGGCCATGATGGCAATGCGGTCCCCCAGCAGGTCAGCCTCGTCCATGAAGTGCGTGGTCAGCAGGATGGTGCGGTCACGCTTCTGCTGCTGGAGAAGGTCCCAGATGGCCCTCCTGGAGACAGCGTCCATGCCGGATGTGGGCTCGTCCAGCATCAGCACCTGGGGTAGAGGATCAGCCTCATGGCCACGGCAGAGCCCCGTCCCAGGCCCAGGCTGGCTGTGCCGCGGGCGCCTTGGGGCTTGAGTCCCGAAGACCGACCAGGACCACCCACTCCAGGCTGCCCGTCCAGGCGTCCAGGACCAGCAGCCGGCCCCTGCCTCTGGGCCCCGCTGCCCCGAGCCTCTGCCGACTGTGTCCACCAGGAGGCCTCCCCACTGTCCCGTACCTTGGAGCCCGCAATGAGGGCGATGCCGATGGAGAGCTTGCGCCTCAGGCCCCCGCTCAGGAACTTGCAGTGTGAGTCCCGCTGGTCCTCCAGGCCCAGGGTGTGCAGCATCCGTGCCACCTCCTCAGGGCACTTCTGGTGTGACAAGCCTTTCAGCTGGAATAGCAGGGGATGGAGGTCCGGCGAGCCACTTGGCCTTGGTGTGGCCTGCTTTCCCCCGCCTGCTGACTCAGGGTCCTGACCCTCCCACTGCCTTTCCTCCAGGTCTGCAGAAGGGCTCCTTGAAGCAGCTTCGGTTTGCAGGGAGGCCAAGGGCTCTCGCCTCGGGAGCCCAAGCACATCACCGACGGAGCCACCGTGGTGGTCCAGGAGTCCTGCCACCTGCCGGCTCACCTGGGCGTAGAAATACAGGTGTTCTGCGACTGTCAGGTCATCAAACAAGATGTCGTGCTGTGGACACAGGCCCAGGCTCTTTCGGATCTGAACCATGTCTTGGGAAATCTCATACCCATTGATATACGCCCGTCCACTGGTCGGAGGAAAGAGGCCTAGGGCCAAACAGAAGACCGCAGGGCTTACGCTCGGCAAACTGTCAGTCGGCAGGTGAGGCGTGGCCTGCACCTTGTAAATGTGTTTTGCTTCATCTGGCCTGAGCACCCCACCTGTGAATGAGGCGGGCTGCCAGAGCCACAGGCCGTGTCCCTCACCTGTGAGCATGGAGAGGGTGGTGGTCTTCCCTGCGCCATTGTGGCCCAGCAGGACGGTGATCTGCCCCTCATACAGGTTCAGGCTCAGGTCTCTGACGGCTGCCTTTCTAACACTCCCCACTCCGAACATCTGTGGGAAGGGTGAAGGGCAGCCCTGGACTTGAGGGGCCCTCCCTGCTCCCCCCTGGAACACCCTCCTGTCTCAGGAGACCACACCCAGGGGCGCCCAGAGGTGGGACATTTTGGGCACAGCGCTGGTTGGAGGCCATGCTGCTTCCTGCTGCCCTGGCCTCCCCAGCCCTTGACAGGTCCCCACACCCCCATGTCTCAGAAGGACTAGAAGGCCCACGAGGCCAAGACAAGGCTGAAGCAAGCACAGTAAGTGTTTGCTGCAAAGCTGATGTGGGGTCAGGTCCCCGGGGCATGTGCTACTGACTCGACCCCGAGTCTCCGCACTGTGCCTGGGGATGGTCAGAGAGCAGCCTCGGAGACCGGTCACGAGCTCAGACAAAGCCCTGGGCCAGGCAGCAGAGCCTATGGCCCTGAGAGCCCTGGGCTCTCCCTGTGGCACCCACAGGGCATGGTACCTTGGACACGTGCTTGATCTTGATGCCAGCCACCAGGTCCTCAGGCTCGGCCTCAAAGTACTCGGTCCTGAGCGCTTTCTCAGGGTCCTCATCAACTTCCTCTTTCCCCATGGCTGTCCTCGGGCTCCCGCGCCAGTAGGAAGGCTAGGAGGGAAGGTGGGCAGGCCTCAGCAGACCCACCCACTGCATTTTGTTGGTGATAAATAATAGCAACAACTAACTAATGTGAAGTCTGAGACCGGCTCTGCCCACATGCGCCACAGCTGCAGGGAGGGTGCTGGGGGAGCCCCAGGGGTGGGCCTAGAGCCAGCACAGCTCCTCACCCACCCAGGTGGGGATGCCTCAGTTTCCTCTTATGCCATAGGGGCAGAGGCTTATTGTGCATCTCAACTCAGATATGATGTGAGGAAAAAGTGAGCGGTGACACTGAGAAGAGGGACAGGCTCTCAAAAGTTCCAGTCCAGGGTGACATACAGTATTAAAGGGGAGGGTGTGTCTGCACCCCCCAGCACAGCCTTACTCAGCCACACAGGAGTTCACAAAACAAGCAGAAGCAGCCAGCTGTGCCCCCCACCACTAGGGAAGCTTCCCCCCTC